AAGTTGACATACATTTTGGGGGGACACAATGCCATCCATAACAGCCTTTTAGTGTCCTACAAGCAGGCTCAGTTTGACCTGCTTCCCTTCTGTGGGCAAAACTCCACATGGAGGCTCAGGTCAGATGGTCACTTGGGCTGAGTCACATCTTGCTTGTTAGCTTCTAAAGTCAATCCATAGAGCAAAACTGCCTTTGGGAATTCCCTAAATCTTTAGGAACCATCAAGGGATTGAGACACAAATTAAATTCTTTTGTTTCAACCAAGCTCATATAGTTGGCTTTGGCTGGAGTATGGGCTGTAGAGAAGGAAATGTGTATATAATATAGCAACCCCACTGTGTCTGTTTTGATATCTAAATTATGGTGTTATGGTATCTAAAGATCATTTTTCTTTCTTTTTTTTTTTTGCTGCAGACACCATGGGCCAATTTCTAGCCTCATATCACACCTTGAAAGTAACTTATTTGTTTAAATCTTTTTGTTGGCCCTGTTTTTATTAAATACCTATCACTTTCCCTATTTCTCCTTCCTCACTCTTATCAATTAAACATTTAATTTTGAGAGATTTGTGAGAAAAACAAACTACTTACAACTGCTATAATTAATTTTCAATTTTATATAAAAATCACTATATTTAGAAATAAAAACTAGGCTTACAGATCAAGCTTAAAAACTTAACAAAAGTAAATTTTTAAAAGTTCAACTTTAATAAACCTAATTGAGTAAGTTGAACTCTTAAAAATTTACTTTTGTTAAGTTTTTAAGCTTGATCTGTATGTCTAGTTTTTTTATTTCTAAATATAGTGATTTTTATATAAAAATGAGAACAATTGCTTTCCCTCGTTGTTTGATTAGTGTTCAATTAACTTGTACACTCAAAAAGATTAAATTTCCTCAAATAATTGGCCACCTTTACACCTGTAATTAATTTCCTACAACATTTCAACTACCTTTACAAAGTTAATACATATGAGTTTCTGAAACATGCCTGATGGGGCTTACTTGAAAACCTAGCACGTAAAATCTTTCCACATCTCAAACAATTCTTATAAATCTAATAAAACTAACTTACACATGTAGTAAATTACGTTCTCTGAAACATCCGAGCTCTATTTACAAACGTATTTATTTTATAACTTTCAAATTAAAATCACAAATCCAGTATCAATTTAGTTTCTCAATATAAAATCATGAGGCTGATATGTCAGATGCTGTTAAATATTTCAAACTTCTTAAATAACAAACTGATTATCACAATGATTACAAAACTTACTGCTCAAACTTAAGACAAAATCATAATACTATGAATTGATTGGCTTCACTGACTACACACTTTTTATACACCTTCTCCGGGTAAGCAAAGTCGCTTTATTCAGCTAAGGAGAGTGGGAGGCATTTCAGGCAGGCTGGAGTTATTTAGAGCTACAATACAGATTATCAGTTAGATTCGTAAGACTAGGAATTTGTCTGGAATGACTGTCTGAGAAAGCTGTTAACACACCGAGCAACTTTTTATAGGTGGGTTTGTTCTATTTATTGTGTCACCAGAGAGGAGTAAACCAGGCATCCCCAGAGTATCTTTCAAATCTCACCCGTATCCTATTTTTATCATAGCCTCTAAGCCTCTTTCACTTTTTAAAAGATTTTTATTTTTATTATTGTACTTTAGATGAAGGTTTACAGAACAAACTAGCTTCTCATTAAACAATTAGTACACGTATTGTGTTGTGACATTGGTTACCAACCCCATGACATGTCAACAGTTTCCCCTTCTTGACCTTGTGTTCCCTATTACCAGCTTTCCTGTCTCCTCCTGCCTTCTAGTCCTTGCCCCTGGGTTGGTGTGCCCCTTTAGTCTCTTTTGTTTTGCGGGCTTGCCTGATCTTTGGCTGAAGGGTCTCAGGAGTTACTGCATTACTGAACTAAAAGCATGTCTGAGGGCCATATTCTTGGGGTTTCTCCAGTCTCTGTCAGAACAGTAAGTCCGGTCCTTTCTTGTGAGTTAGAATTTTGCTCTACATTTTTCTCCAGCTCTGTCTGGGTCCCTCTATTGTCATCACTGTCAGAGCAGTCAGTGGTGGTAGCTGGGCACTGTCTAGTTGTACTGGACTCAGTCTGGTGGGGGCTGAGGTAATTGTGGTCCTTACTCCTTTGGACTAATCTTTCCCTTGTGTCCTTGGTTTTCTTCATTTTCCCTTGTTCCAGAGGGGGTGAGACCAGGTGAGTATCTTAGATGGCCGCTCACAAGTTTTTAAGACCTCAGATGCTACTCAGCAAAGTAAAATGTAGAACGTTTTCTTTATCAACTATGTTATGCCGGTCGAGCTAGATGTTCCCTGAGACCATGGTCCCCACAACCCTCAGCCCAGTAATTTGGTCCCTCAGAGAGTTTGGATGTGTCCAAGGCGCTTCAATGACCTTGCCTTGAACAAGTTGTGCTGGCTTCTGCAGTATTGTGTACTGTTTTACCCTTCACCAAAGTCACCACTTACCTATTTTCTATTTAGTGGTTTTCCATCCCTACCCTGCCCCTCCCTCATAACCATCAAAGATTGTTTTTTTTGGTATGTAAACCTTTTCATGAGTTTTTATAGTAGTGGTCTCATACAATATTTGTCCTTTTGTGATTGACTTATTTCACTCAGCATAATACACTCTAGATTCATCCATGTTGTGAGACGCTTCGCTGATTCATCATTGTTCTTTATTATTGCGTAGTGTTCTGTTGTGTGTATGTACCATAGTTTGTATATCCATTCATCTGTTGATGGGCATCTAGGTTGTTTCCATCTTTTTGCTACTGTCAACAACGCTGCAATGAACATGGCTGTGCACATGTCTATTTGTATGATGGCTCTTATTTCTCTAGGAGATATTTCTAGAAGAGGGATTGCTCAATCCCCATTTCTATTTTTAGCTTTCTAAGGAAGCACCATAGTCTTTTTCCAGAAGGATTGTACCATTTCGCTTTCCCACCAGCAATGGATAAGAGTTCCAATCTCCCTGCAGCCTCTCCAAAATTTGTTATTTTCTGTTTTTTTGATTTGTGCCGGTAATGTGGATGTGCAATGGTATCTCATTGCAGTTTTGATTTGCATTTCCCTAATGGCTTGTGCGAAACTCTGTGGCACAGTGGTCAGGAGTTCTGCTGCTATCCAAAAGGTCAGCAGTCTGAATCCACCAGCTGCTCCTTGGAAACCCTGTAGTGCAGTTCTACTGTGTCCTATAGGGTTGCTATGAGTCAGAATCACCTCGAAGGCAACAAGCTTTTCTTTTTTTTTTTTTTGGTTTAATGGCTAATGATCTCCAGCATTTCCTCATGTGCCTGTTAGCTGCCTGAATGCCTTCTTTGGTGAAGTGTCTGTTCATTTCCTTTGCCCATTTTTTAATTGGATTATTTGTCTTTAGGTTGTAGAGGTGTTGGATTTTCCTGTAGATTTTAGAGATTAGACCTTTGTCGGATTTGTCATGGCCAGTTTTTTTCCCCAGTCTGGAGATACTCTTTTTACTCTTTTGGTGAAGTCTTTGGATGAGCATTAAGTGTTTAATTTTTAGAAGATCCCAGTTATATAGCTTATCTTCTGGAATTTGTGTGCTGTTAGTTATGGTTTGTATCCTTTTAATGCTGTGTATTGGGGCCTCTAGCATTGATCCTATTTTTTCTTCTATGAACTTTATAGTTTTTGGTTTGATATTTAGGTCTTTGATCCGTTTTGAATTAGTTTTTGTGTATGGTGTGAGGTGTAGGTGCAACAGTATTACTTTTTGAACCACCTCTTCACCTGCTTAATTTTGTTTGAACATGATGATAAGAAAACACAACAAAAACCTCACAGCTCTCAATTTATTCCCCTACCTTGCTCTAATAATGTTACATTCCTCACCAATTACCACAAAGAGCAGCAAACATGATCTATGCTCTTAAAGAAATGTAAATAACGTCAGGATTTACTAAGACTATATTACAGTGCATTTGAGCCCAGTCACAACAGGATATATCAGTATTTATTATCAATTTATTTCCCTATCTGGCTGAAATAATTTTACATTCTTTACCAGCTACCATAAATAGCAGGAAACATGATCCATGCTCTTAAAAAGTAAATAATGTCAAGATTTATTAAGCATATATTACAGCGAATTTGAGTTCAGTCACAGCAAAAGGATATATCTGTATTTAATCTGACACATTTCTTTGCCTCAGATAAAACACTCCATTTTTGCCTTCAGAGGCCAATTTAGCATTACCATTTTCTTGACTGTATGTAGGCACGTGACAAAAAAAGCAAAAAAAGTAAGTCAGCATGGTCTTTCGTTCGCTGTACCGTCTAATTTATTGAGGTTTGGCAATACATTTCGTTGTTTTCTAGGATCCCAGTGTGGTAATTGTATGTCCCTTTCTAGACTCTTATGTGTCCTTCCCAGATTCTCCTTGAGGTCAGGGAAGGTCTAAGCTTTATTGCGCTCCGCAGGGTCTGATGGAACCCCTGGCACCACGTGGGGAGAATTAAGAACCGCTTGTCCAGTGTGGCTAAAAGGGTCTTAACAGCTGGTGGTGGGGGTGGGCGCCGGCTCAATTTGGCGAAGAGACCGGAACCCTTGTAGGGTGCGTACAGGACGGTGATTTGGTCGCAAGCGGGCGGGTTCTATTTGTTGACAGCAGGTCGCGCCGCCGCCTGCAGCTACAGCGGGGGAGGGGACCGGCGGCGCGCCCAGAAGCTTATCTTCTAGCCCCTCGTGCCCGCGCGGGCGACCCGCCCTACCTCCCTCCTGGCGCGCGAGCCGGCTGGCCTAGGCGTGCCGTGGGCGGGGCGCCGCGCTGACGTTGCCTGGGATGCGGGCAGGTTCCGC